TAATGATTAATGCTTAATGATTAAGCAAAAACGTACCCCATAGTACGTAAGTTGACTGAATCCTCCTTTAACCCCGGCTACAATTGACAATTAATTAAGAAAAAGGTTTTAATATTTTATATTCTTTAATAACTAATCTTAATTATATACAAGTTAAGAGGAGTGATCATATGAAAACCGCCCTCATTTGTGTAAACCGTGGAAACCACCTTCATCTGTCGATTTCATTGTTTAATCTTATAAAATTTTTTCATGAAATTGTTTAATCTTGTGAAATTGTTTCATATAATACTTTTTTTAATGAAGTTGTTTCATATATGGTTGTGAAATTGTTTCATATAATACTTAATGAAACTGTTTCATGTATTTCTCTAACATTAATGAAACAGTTTCATGTATTTCTCTAACATTAATGAAACAGTTTCATGTATTTCTCTAAAATTAAAATAATGAAGATGATAATATCTATGATTAACACCCTCCACAATAAAAATGATTAATCAACCTCTCATAATTACAAAAAAATGAAAAATTATGATTGGTTGAATGCGGTTTGCACAGTTTGTACAAATTGAGTGGTTTGCATTTGATCGCTCCCCTACAAGTTAAATTGTATAAAAAGTAATATATTTTTATTAAAAAAATTATCTAATAAAAAAACACTTTGAAAACATACATTTAGGGTCTGTCTGTATTTTCAAAATTACTTCTTAATCTGAAGTTTGATTTGTTAAGACGTTTGGGTATTCAGAGCCTTTGAATTATTTCTAAAATAAGAACGTAAAAGCTCTAAATATCATCTGAAATTTTAAGTGATAAACGCATCACTTAATACTTGTTAAGGATTCTTTAACTTGGTTTTTATTTTGGGTAACGTACTTTCAAAACTTTCATTTTGATATCTAAGATGTAAAGTTTTAAACATTTAAGTAACTCAGGTAACCCTCCAACTCGGTATTATTTGCTATTCAACCAAATTTCATCACATCACTTTCTACATCAGCTTGGTAACCGGGTTAATGCTTCAACCAGTTACCCGGATACTTAAATGTTTAAACTTTTACATCGTATGTATCAAAATAAAAGTTTTGAAAGTACGTTATCCAAAATATGAATCAAGTTAAAGTATGTTACTTTTTCATGCAATTTGTTCAAAAAATTACAATTATTTTAAATTCTTAAAAACCATTTTTTATGCATAAAGTACTGTATATTGATGCATATTACTTAAAATTCAAGATTACAAGTAAATTATGCATAAGTACAACTTATTAAAGCTCCATGTTTGAATTCGTATAACTAATTGCGGATAAACATAATCAAATAGAGGATAAACATTTCAATTTAAAATATAAAAAATCTAAAATATAATTAGAATAATTATCGAGTTCTAACAAAACAATTAATTATTATCTTTATAAGAAAGTTATATTATTAAACCAAATATAAATTACTTCGTTATTGAACCTAAATTAAATTATAATAAAATTTTAATTAAAAAGTTACACAAAAAATGAGGAATTTTAAATAGTTAATTTGATATTAATATCAATATATTTTTATCAAATTTTTATGATATTTTCAAATTTATATTTTATTCAAAAATAAAAACATCATCAATTTTTCAAAATCACGTAAGACCATATTATAACATCGACTGAGATAAATAATAAAATGAAATATTTAAATCAAGATGTATTTCGTTGTATTACACGAATACCTTTCTAGTTTAATTTAATATTCGTATAAAAGTTTATTAAATTAAATATTGGAATAATATAAAAATACATTGACTTGTATTGGCCATGTGAGGGTCATAATTTAGAAAGTCAATTGCAATTAAGACAAACTTAAAGTAAACGCTTTAATCATTTTAATCATTAAGCTAATTAGTGGGGAATTGGGGATATACAAAGGTTCGAGATGTCAAGTTGGCAACGGGTTCGGAGGTATCGGGGATCTCGTTTTCCGTTCTCGTCTATATTGAAGAACGGGAATTTCCATCGAGGGTTTGTTCCCGTTTGTATAATTTTTACGTAATATTTTTATGTATTGTGTGTATAAATGTCAATTTTATATTTTTTATGTTTAAACAACCAGCTTTTAATTGTTGCATCTGTGTAAAAGTAAAATGGCACCCGATTGGTTTGAGCTTGGATTCCAAAGGTCAAAAGCGTTTGGAGATTCCAGGTTCAAATCCAAGGAGAAACAAAAATCCACTTTGTAGCCATGGAGATTCAAATGTGGTGACTTCGGGCTACCCGCAAAGCAGGTGGTCATTATGGGATTAGTTGACTCGCATAGCGAGTTGGATATCCGGGTTAATAGGAAAGATAATATTATACAACCACGTCGTTGCATCGACAAAAGGTTCTCACAAATAACCAAATCAATAATGTAATTCCTTTTAGAAGTTTCCGTTATCGAAAATTGATTAAGTTTATACATTATTTACTCATTGGATTTCTCATTTTCATTATTTTACTTAGGGACTGTTTACCAAAAACTTACTGGTAAGTGCTAACCATGGTAAGAGTCGTCGTCCTCACTTACCGGATAAAACTTTCGGTCCTTGTCTCGCTCTTACCAGATAAGATTCTTGGTTCTTACCATATTCATACTGTAAGATAATGTGACTTCGTAAGCACTTACCCAGGTAAACATTTAATAAACGGCCCCTTAGTCTTTCTCTCTCTCTCTCTCTTTATATATATATATATATATATATATATATAGAGAGAGAGAGAGAGAGAGAGAGAGTTTGTTTCAAATACAACCTGTTGCATTTGTACAACCAATGCAACCCAATAAATTGAGATATTTATGGAAATGATGAGAGTTCATTTATTATGATTTGAATATTTATGGAAGATGAATATGGTTCATTAATTATGATCAATACTTTTAATGAGAAAACAATCAAAACTTCTATGAAATCACATATTAATCAAATGAAATAAACGGTTGAGATTGAGTTGTATTGGTTGCACAAATGTCATGGGTTGTATAATAACCAACATATATATATATATATATATATATATATATGCACACGTACTTGAAAATGTATTATTAATACTTGGAGTCGGGGTCAGGGTTGAGGATGAAGGATATCCCCATCTCTGGTTCATAAATTATAGAATTCCCCATCCCCAATCAACTGTGTTTTGTGTATCCAATTCCCCGTCAGATGCAGGGGTTTTGGTCATTCCGGACAAATAGGGTGGCAATTTTGTACCAAAACTAAACCACTTGTACCAATTACAATCAGTTGGTGGTACTGTACCAAATATGCAAATTTTGTTGGTACACGGTTTTGAAAGTTACGTATCATGATAATACCATGGTACTGACTAATTTAATTATTTATTAGTTTTTAGAATTTTTTTTATGTATTGAATATTGAACTTTGTAACTTTAACTATCTTGTTTAAACATTTGAAAATTTTCTAAGTTTTATTTTTTGCAATTAAAAACCCTTAAGCATCACATACGTTTCCTGAAAACTCAAAATAGTCATTCAAAATTTGAACATAATCGCAATTGGCAGGTTTTATATATATATGTAACTTAAAGTTGGTGCAAAACTTGTGTCAGCATGTACCAGCCCAAAAAAATTAGCACCAGTTAAATTGGTACCAAATATACTACTACTTGTATACAGTGTAATATTTTTTGTACCAATTATAATCGGTTGGTACACGAAGAAAAAAATTCAATTTCTTTTAAAAGATTAAATATAATTTTAAGAAAATGGATAAATAGAAAATAAAATAATAATAGATGGTAGTTGACCATTACAATCATTTTAAATATAAGTCATCGTTCAATAATGACGGTTTTACCCCTCTTCAAAGTAAGTATTGGATTTGGATTTGAATTTGGTTCACATTGGAACATTCACCCTATTTTTCAACTTGCGTTGTCAAGTTTTATCGGCTTGTTTATGTCAGGATTTGACCATTTTTTTTTGGGAAATCGAACTAAATGGTCACTATCCGTTGTTGAATGGTTTGATACATAATTATTAAGTGATCAGAATGATTAAAAAAACTCTCGTAATATAATGCAAAATGAAATATAATTGTTTACGATGGAATTAGAGAATCGAATGGTTAAGGGGTCCATCATATAAAATCATTCAGAGGGTTTTAAAACCATTAAGAGACATTTTTTTTTGTCAAACAATATTCGTCTCTTAATGATTTAGAGACTGCCTCTTAATGAAACTATTAAGAGCTAAACAAACAACCCCTTGGCCATTTTTTCTCGATGTTATTCAAATGACACTGCCTCCATAAGTGACACCTCCGTAATTTGCGGAGTTAGTTAAAAGACAAAAAAAAATTACAATTTTTTGTCCAAGTCCGTAAGTGGTATCTCCGCAATTTCTAGTCTATTTTTATGTCTGTCAGCCACCTCTGCAAATCACGTAGGTGCCACTTGCGGAGGTAGTGTCATTTGCGTAAAACAAGAAGAGAAACGGCTAGAAGACCAGTTACAATGAGAGAAATGACCATTTCAACCAATTTCCCTTTTTTTTGAAAAAGTATCGTACTTTAATTTGGTTCCTATTTTGGGTAATGTAATCTCAAAACTTCCATTTTGATACCTAAGATGTAAAGTTTTAAACATTTAAGTACCCGGTTGAAGCATTAACCGCTTATCATGCTGATGTGACGATTGATAGGATGAAATTGAATTGAATAGCAAATAATACCACATCACTCGCCACATCAACATGGTAACCAGTTAATGCTTCAACCGGTTACCCAGGTACTTAAATGCTTAAAACTTTACATCTTAGGTATCAAAATAGAAGTTTTTAAAGTACGTTACCCAAAAAAGAAATCAAGTTAAAATACGTTACTTTTTCATACAATTTACCCTTAAATAAAAACCAAAAAAATGTAGACCATAATCAAAATTACAGTAGGATATAGAAAAGGGTAGGGTAATTAACACATTGTTCACATAAAAAACACTTTGTATATTATTACCAAAAAACCTTTCATCATATACTTTTTGGACACAAAATAAAAGTACATGGTTTTCTACAGGTCAAAACTGGAGAAGGCAAAACTACAAAAGGGTAAAAAGGGAATTAAAAAAACTAAGTCTATTTTTAGGAATTATTTACTGCATTACTACTTCCTTCCTTCCTTTAGATCAAATCAATACTAGCAGTAGAACACAACAGGTAGAGAATAGAAACACACATACAAGATCAAAAGCAACGACCCTTTACGCACCTTCACCTGCTGCATAGGCCTCGCCCCGCCCATTAGATCGGTATCCCTGACCCCTTGAACGACCACCACCGCCACGCCCTACAATCGATAGTTGCATTTCTTTTCATAACTTAATAGGATGAGAAGCATCAATTAGGGTGTGTTTGGTATCCAGACAGAATAGGACAAAACATTTGTTGAGCGTTTGGTAAGACGGAACGATAAAATGACCAATTTACCCCTAATGAGTTGTTTCTATATTTTAAATAATTTATGTAATTTATTAAGTTATAATAAGATAAATATTTTTTATATCAAAATACATCATTAGAAAGTTTTCGTTAAAAAAAAGTTTTCATCAAGACGATTGAAATGATACCAAAATAAAAAGTTCATGTAGTTTCCAATTTTTATCTTATACCTTTTTTGTATTATTATTTTTATTATTAATATTTAATAAATTACATAAATTAATCAAAATATAGAAACCGTATAAAAATAGATATTTTGAGGAGAGTACAGTGGAAGTCTAAAGAGCATAAAATACAATAAATAAAATTTTGAGTATGAATAAAATGTAAAGAGGGAGGCGTATTTGATGGTTTAGAAGAGAAATAAGTTTTCTCTAGAGGTTAAATTGGTAAAATATAGATTTGTTTCACCTTGTTTCATGGGGTAGAAATGGAACATACTTGTTCCATACCTGTTCCACTTTGTTCCTATCTATTCCGCATAAAAGTCCTGCCACACGTGGAACAGTGATACCTATTTTGTTCTATCCTATCCAATGTACCAAACGCACCCTTATAGTTCAAATGAAGAGGGTCGATCAAAATGTTTTGACTAGATACTCCCACCGTCCCAATATAAGTTCAGTTCTACCCTTAATTATAACATGGAGAAATTCATTAATCCCTTTATTAGCAAGGGTAAAACCGCCATTTAACTTAATAAAAAGGTGTAATAACGGCCTACTGGGCTAGTTTGGTTTGGTTTTATCTGTCTAGTTTTGAGGATCATATTGGAGTTATGAATATAGTAGTACCTCTTCCTTGCATTGATGCTTCTTGATTGTATGCATCTTGAGGAGCATCCATATAAGGGCCATTACTGTAATTTCCCCTTCCACGTCCACGATAATTGCGGCTTCTTCCCCGGCCTCTTCCCCTCGGATAATCACGAGGGCCATCCCATCCATCATCATCATCGTACCCATGTGGTGCATAACCGTTTCCTGATATCATATTCAAAAGCAATGGTATAAAAACAGAAGACTCTGAATAACTGAAATAGCAAAACCCCGTTGACCAAATTCAATTTTTAGCCACTTTTCAGAGCCTCTTCCGAAAATAACCAGTTTTTACGCAGATGCTATACGCATGTGCCTAAAGACTGATTTCGGGAAGGAAAAAAAAATCATAATGCATATGCATTTAAGGATTCTTTATGCAAAAATTTAAATCCTTCACAAGAAATCTGAATCTCTACGCATACGTGTAATGTGTTTTTGATCTGAAAATCGAGTGCATACTTAAACTCCGGCTAAAATGGGAATTCAATTGTAAAAGTGGCTAAAAAGTGAAGTTGGTCAAGGAGATTGGTTATTTTAGTCAATTTCCCATAAAAACAACACATTGGTAAAATGGAGAAAGTTTAAATAAGAACCATAAATATTTTGAAAACCTGTAAACCAACTATTTTATGTATTATTCATAATGAAAAACCCTGAATAATCATAAATATTATTCATCATGAATTGAATATCAAATGATTTTCATCACAAATATCTATCACGATATTCATCATGAATAGAACATGAATAGCGTGTTCTCAAGTTCACAAGTATCCCATCCGAAAATAGATGTCCACAATGGAAAAGACAGTTTTAGAAATATGTAATTATTACACTTCTTTGGGGACACTTATTCTAGAATTAAAAAGTATGCACTTACTTTTGAGGATGGACACTTATTCTAGGACAAACTAAAATAGCAACGTGGACACTTATTTTTTGGATGAAGGTAGTAATAATTAACTATGTGCCAACGAAATAAATTTAACACTGAACTTTGTAAAACTGATCATACCAGACATCACTCTTCCCCTTCCCCTTCCTCTTCCCCTTCCCCTTCCCCTTCCTCTTCCACCACTACCCCTGCCCGTTGGTAATCCTTCTGCATGGAAAAATGTTAAACGTAAAGGTATTATAAACCGATAACGACCAAAATAGCCAATCTTCCCAACCAACTTCACTTTTAGCCACCTTTTCAATTGAATTCCCGTTTTAGTCAGAGTTTATGCAAATGTCTTGCACATTTGCGTGAACTCAATTTTCAAATTTAAAAAAAAATATTACGTAAAGGATTCAAATTTTTGCGTTAATAATTCAAATTTTTGCACACGCATAAGGATTTTTGCTCTTTTTTCTCCAGAAATCAGTCTTTACGCAAATGCGTAAAGACCGGCTATTTTGGAAGAGGCTCTAAAAAGTGGCTAAAAAGTGAATTTGGTTGATGGGATTGGCTATTTCAGTCAATTTCCCCGATAACTATTGGAGCAGTCTAGAATACCGTACCTCCTTCATATTCAAACTCAGTTGACACCTTCACCTGATCAGATGGCAATGGAGGCTGATACCTGAGAACATGTAATTGCATGAGAAACAGGATTTATGGTAGAACTACGAACACAAGGTTGCAGTTATGACGGTGGGCAAACAATTGTTAAGTACTGGAATGAGGAACTTTCAGATTCCTGGGGCATTACTAAGGGCCTGTTTGTTAGCAGCTTAATGAGACTCACAGCTTATTCGGTCAGCTATACCGTTTGGTAGTGGCTTAATGATATAGAAATTGGCTTATTCAGTAAGCTTCTAGGAGGAGCTTCATGCAGAAAGCCAGGTGTTCTCAAAACCTGCCTCTCCCAGTTAAAAAGCACGCTCCTTCCATCTATGAAACAACTCTCCCATACAGATTGATTGATCCACACAGACAGCTTTATCCATGCAGGACTTAATGGAAAACCAACCAAACATCCCCTAAGTAGTTTCTTACAGCAACATACTCGACGAAAGTATGAAGGGGTGGTTTACTAGTTTACTAATTGCTGACTGCCTCTTACCGGGTAAGAGACGCTTACCCTGTAAGAGGTGAGTTTGTTTTCCATACACTCTGACCGACAAATAATATTGACCGGGATGCTAACTAGGTAAGGAAGGAAAGGCTCTCTTACTCAGTCAGCGCTTACTCAATACACTCTTACCCGGTCAGTGCTTTGTGTTGGTAAACACCCCGTGAAGTGATGGAGATAGGGATGGAAGAAGAGAAAAATACAAAAAACAAATGAAGGAATACCCAAAGAACTAGAAGATGAACATGATGGTCAACAATTAGATAGAAAAATACTTGATAATAATTGATCACCTCCACCAACATGGAACTATAACTTATGCTAAATACCTGTTAATGTACAAAATTTTTACACATACGGCTTTAGAAGCATGACAAGCATCCATATCAAGGGAACATGTATTCTTCTTTCTCTAATGGAAGTACAACCAGAAACTAAAAGAAATAAGCTTAACGAGCCCAAGTGAGTTCACTTTTGTACCAAGAGCATCCAATGACCATTAGAACATATTCCCTCCATCCCAAAATAAATGTCAACAATGAAAATGACACGCAGTTTTAGAAATTATTACACTTTCTAAATAACTAAATGACACTTTTACCCTTGATAACGTAATTTAGGGTAAAATGGAAAATTAGAAACTAATTTTTGAAAGTGGACACTTTTTCGGGACAAACTAAAATAGTAATGTGGACACTTAGTTTGGGACGGAGGGGCGGAGGGAGTAATTTATTTCAATCAATCAACCAATGTAAAATTAAGGGACTGCAGCCAAAATAGTAACTCACCCGATAGATGATGTATTCAGCTCCTTTTTAGAGAGGGTGATAGCGATCATTGACACATGCCTAGTGGTTTCAAGACTGCAGCACCAACAGAATCAAGTACAGATAAAGAGTCATACTTTAATTACAACAGGCAAACAATGGAGCAGAGACTGGTGTCCATCAGAAAAGGTAAAATAAGATCATATCTTCTCAATACATGAGCTCACTTACGGAAGTAGTCCTTCTTCTAGGGGTTCCCATGTATCAGTTATGTCTATGGATCCAATGGATGTTATTTGATGAAGACCAATAATTCTCCTCTGCATCATAACAGGTACAACAACACTACTTAGCAGGAATGCCAATATAAACCAACCAAACAATGCAAGTATATCCCGCTCTAGAGCGCGGCCAGGGTACTCAGGGGAGGGGTGGTATGCAGTCCCGGCCTCTAACCGAAAGGGTAGGACAGCAGTTTCCATGAAGACCCCGTGCACGCCCCCCTCCCCCCCCGGGGGGGGGGGGTCCTTGTGCGAAAGTAAACAAAGGAAAGAGAGAGAAGGAGCATTGAAACCTTTATCAACTCTACAATTGTAACAGTCTTGTTGATAGCTCTACCCATTGCTTTAAACACAATTTCTGACAAACCTTTTTCCTATAAAGCAGATAATTAATTGAGGAGTAAGAAGCAGTGACAATTGCCACACCCCAATAGTTATAACTACCAAGCTTCAACAGTAAAATGAATAAATATTCCTAACATGAAATGTCAATTCTGTTACATTATGCCTAAGAAACTAATTATCTTATAAAATGATACAAAACTTCACCATACATTGATCAAGACAATTACATATTAATGAGCTCTTTGCCAGACCAAAAGTGTAATATATATATAATTTAGAGAATCATAGAATATAAAAAAAAAAAAAAAAAAGCAAAACGATATGATACATGCAAGCATAAAGCATGTAGCAAAATACTGAGACTCTATACCATAACGTTGAGCAAACATAAAATGATATCCTGCACGGGGAAAATGGTTAGACCTGATAAAGTTGCATTTATAAGGTAAGGCAACCCTGAAACTCAAAAGGGTGCAAACTTGAAACTAACCTTAGACCTTTTATTTTCAAGTAAATGACTATAGCATTAGTGTGCTTCGAATTCAGTTACTTGCACTAACCTTAGACCTTTTATTTTCAAGTAAATGACTATAGCATTAGTGTGCTTCGAATTCAGTTACTTGCACTAAACAATACACCTATCAGCATGGCAGTCCGTCAAGCAACTGTTATGTAACTTATATTCATGTAAAACCTCTACCCCACCCTAAGAACATTACTTCCCAGACATATAAGTTTGCATGAACAACCATGAGATCATAAGAAGCAGGAGCGGATTCAATAATATCCTTGGGGATGCCCATGCCCCCACTCTATTGACACGCTGCAATGGGAAAAGCTTCGGGGTCTTAAAGGTGCATCCATTTTGAATTTGACGTGTGCTCCCCTAAACACAAAGTGGTTACAGCCTACTCTTACTGTCATTGCATTACAGGTTGCAAATTCGAATACCTTTGGCTCTATTTTAACTTTTTGTTACAGCAGATAGGGAATGCTTCTGGATCAGCCTCTAATAAGAAGAAAAATAGACAAAGACACTACATACCAAATATCTAAAAGAGCCTATGAAAATCACCATATTACCTCAAGCAAACTCATAGCATATGTGATATAGCTCCGCATTCTGCCTTGGCTAGTAATTCGTATCTCATTCTCCTTAATTGATTGCTCAGCTCGTGGCTTTTCCACCCTCTGGTACCGATCCATGTGCTAAAAAACAAACCAACAAAAACCAAAATTTTAAAATATCCAAACGCTAATCTTCAATTCCACTGTAGGATTCTTATTGGAACAGTCACCATTAACAATATCAACAACTAATTGTCGAAAAGGGGAAAGATAACACCAAGAATTAACAAAACAGAGATGAATAAGCTAAGCATAAAGCCATATACAAGAAATTGGGGTGGATGTAAGCAGAATAACTTAGGTGGATAATAGAAATTGGAGATTACCGTCTTCTGTGGGAAGATTACTATGAGACAGTAAAGCTCCTGCACTCTTATTGGACTTCGATTTTCTTGGTTAAAGCCCTAAACAGTATATTCATGGAGTTTTGGGTATTTATAGTCTATAGATGCTTGGCCAACACTCCAGCTAAAGTCTAAACCTTGAACCACAAACTGGACCGAGTTTCCTTGGGATATTATATAGTCTGTCGACCGGTTTTTCAATCGTGAGGTTATTAATATATACAAGGTAGGTTTAGCCGGGTAAATATTTTGTAAAAAGTTGAGAAAGTTTCAATATCATATATGATTAAACATATATTACATTAATAAGACATAGACGCTTAATTAACACACTCGAAAAAAAGATAATTATATATAATATTAGAACTTCTTGCATTTTCGTAAAATATTTAACTTATCGCATCATCCTTCCACTCTCTCTATTATATATATATATATATATATACACACTATAAGAGTACCTGCACAATGCAGCGATATACATCTCTATTTTAATATTCTATTTTATTCTTTGTCGATGTTATAATATGATTTTATGTGTTTTTTTAAAAAAAAATAATGATTTTATTTTGAAATAAAATATAAATTTCAAAATATCATAAAATTTTGAAAAAAAAAATATCAATGTTAATATTAAATCAACTATTTAAAAGTTCTCATTTATTATGTAATTTCTTTAATTTATTTTTATTATAATTTAATTTAAGTTTAATAATGAAATAATTTATTTTTGGTTTAATAATATAACATAATTAAGTATTCTGTTAGAACTCAATAATTATCTTAATTATATTTTAGATTTTTTATATTTAAAATGATATGTCTATCATATATTTGATTATATTTATCTGCAGTTAGTTACACGAATTCAGATATGGAGCTTTAATAAGTTGTATTTACGCACAACCTACTTGTAATCTTGAGTTTTAAGTAACATGCATTAATAAATAGTACGTTATGCATAAAACGTGGTTTTTAAGAGTTTTTGTCAAATGCTTTATAATATAGTATAGATAGATAGATGGATATATATATATATATATATATATATATAGAGAGAGAGAGAGAGAGAGAGAGAGAGTTTCAAATACAACCTATCGTATTTGTACAACCAATGCAACCCAATAAATTGAGATATTTATGGAAATAATAAGAGTTCATTTATTATGATTTGAATATTTATAGAAGATGAATATGGTTCATTAATTATGATCAATACTTTATATTAGAAAACAACCAAAACTTTTATGAAATCACATCTAAATCAAATGAAATGGACGGTTGAGATTGAGTTGTATTGGTTGCACAAATGTCAAGGGTTGTATAATAACCAACCCCTCTCTCTCTCTCTCTCTCTCTCTCTATATATATATATATATATATATATATATTCAATTTTTCAACCCAATTTTTAAAATTTCAATCATGAGTATATGCATACAATTTTTATACTATATTATAAATGGATTGTTTCTAAGTGGTCTCTTACCATATAAGCGTTAATTGGGTAAGAGTTTTCTACCCGGCTTATTGGATAGGAACCTTGGTTGTTGTATATCTCTTACCTGATAAGATTTTTGATCTTTGTCATGTTCACCGATAAATGTTTGATAAACAACTCGTTACATTCTCAAAAAACTCAAAAGGCGCATTAATAAAATATTTGGTATCATTGAACCAAGGACTTCTCAGGCTTGCTTTGATCACAACAAACTTAAGCTCCCGAATTGAGAATTTTTTCAATAGACTCGAGGGTCGTTTGTCTAACACTTATGGAGTATTATTTATCTTACCGAGTGAGCATGACAGACTGTGCCACTGCGAAGAATATCACCTAATAAGGTATGAATGTGACGATTCTTGTCAATAAGCACTTACTTTATGATCATTAATAAACGACAAACGACGCCTTAATTCGTTTGTTTGTACTAAAAAAAATTGAAATTTTAAATGAAAAAGAATTTTAAAAAGTTTTGTAATGCGTCGTGCATTCATAAAAAGCAATAGATCCATCATCAAATTTTAACACCAAAGACATCAAAGTCATAATTTAATCATAAATTCTCTTTTGAAATTGAATAAACAATCACCTCTTTTAGGTTTTTTATCTAATAGGTAGCGTTTGGTATCCAGATATGATTAGACTAAACAGGGTAAGATTGTACATGACAGAACGAAGGGCAAGACGGGACAAGATTTTACATAACAACCGTATGTTTGGTGTTTAGTACGACTAGAATTGGACGTAACAGAAATAGATAAGTGGTAGTGGTAGCCAATAGTGGTGGTTATGATGGTAGAGGTGAGGTCGTTTGTTGTAATGGCAGCGGAGGTGAAGGTAGCCGACGGTTGCCGGCGGCCACAACTAGCAGTGGTGACCATTAAAACAAATATCATATAAATGTTATATATCAAATAATGATAGATTAGTAATATTTTAGTTCATGTCTCATTCTTGTCCCATCTTGTTCCACCTATTTTGATAGAACAAGAAAAACCTTTTTTTTTATTAACCTGGATATCCAACCCGCTATACAAACCGACTAATTGACGACCATCTGCTTTACAGGTAGCCCAGAGTCACAACATTTAAACCTCTATGGTCACAAGAGAATTTTTATTCCTCCTTAGATCTAAACATGGGATCTCCAGACATTTTTGACCTTTGGATCTCAAGCTCAAACTAATCAGACACCACCCTGATGGTTAAAAAAACGCCTTTTTTTATCCCACCTTATCCTAATTCTTGTCTCTGTCACATATCGCATGAAACATAGAACAGTGAGTTCTTATTTTTTTCTCATGTTCGAGCCCGACATTAAACAGTAAGTTCTATTCCGTCTTATCCCATATATCAAACACATCCATACAGATCTTTTTGCTTTCACACTTGAAAATTTATAAGAGAGCCAAAAACAAACCTAATAAGCAGACATAATATAAAATAAAATAATTATAAAAAATATTGTTTAAATAATTTCTGCAACATTCAATTGGTTTTGGTTTTTAATCTTCAGCTGTTACAAAAAATAAAATAACAAGTTAAAAGGAATTCAAACTTACAACTTATAGTACCACACGTACAAATAACTCCGCAACGACTTTCCAAAAAACAAGCACGGACCATTAAGACCCCTAATTTTTTTCTCATGATCGAGGGCGTAGATACCCCCTCGGCTATTAGCCTGTTGCTGAACCCGCCCCTGAGGATCGGGTTTTGCATCATCACATTCCCGTAACCCCGACACACACAACCAAACCTAGAAAATGAGAAGTTGAAAAAACAGTAACAAAATGTTGCCCAAAAACAAATGAGCCAAAAGCCTAAATTCAGCACTGCTTAACTGATTCCTATCGATGTACAAATGCTCCATGCACAGAATCTTCTTAACAACCTCCCTAACGTTTTGATTAAATAGGACAAACTTATTGGGGTGCTACATGTGACTGAGAATGGTCTTATTTGCATATTAAGCAATGAATTTTCCTTCCAACTAGCATTTCTGGGGGGTTTTTTTTATTTTAAGGTTGTACTGAGCTATACCCAGACTAATACCGGCAAATTGCGACTGTAAGACATCAGCACTGATAAACTCAATAGCCACAATTGTTTAAGGCCGAGGAAATTGAAATTCTACAAAGGCTTTTCGATATCATCTCATTAACCATCAAAGCGTACTATGAACTTGATATTGTTCTGTACTGGAATACTCGTCTTTTTGAAGTCGTTTGATCTCCAATTGATGATCAGGTCCTTTGAAGTGTTTCATGATTTGGAAACCTAATTTGTCTCGGATATAGATGGATTTGACGAGACGCCCCGAGCATCCTAGAAGCATGAAAATCCATCGAGATAAGATACGTACCAACCTACAAAAGAATCAAGCTCAATAGACAGTTTTATAACAATAGGAACACTGTTGGTTATGGGAAAATTTAAATGAGAACTAGGAATATTTGAAAACATCATAACCAACTATTTCATGTATTATTTATGATAAATGACCCTAAATAATCGTATGAATATTATTCATTACGAATAATTTTCATCATGAATAGTTTGTTTCCAGGTTCTCTACATAAGGTTCAATGTGAACCTAACTCTTGGTCATTACAATAATCTCCCCACATGTTATTTTTCAGTCGGAACGGTTATGAACGCTTCGCACCCCTTTCGAAGTGGAATAAAGGGGAAAGTGAGTTGCAAGTCAAGAAAGAGAGAGAGAACTGCCTAAAAGGAGAAGTCAAAAAATGAGTCCTCGTAAAGCCTAAGGTAAGGAAGGCAGTTCACCAGGTAAGGCCTCCCATCCGCTAGTTCGGTCGTTAGGTTGAGAAGAAAGGGATTATTGGGTGTCACTTATCTTTCCATGTGAGCATGGTAAGGACCGAGAATCTTACCTGGCAAGTAAGGGAGAATACTCTTACCCGGTTAGCGCTTACCGGGTAAGAGATGTTTACTAGCAATCCATTTTGATGGTTAAGGATGTTACCCAATAAGGTAAGTGAGAGTTGTGATTCTTACCGGTAAGTGTAAGCATTGGGTAAACGGTCCTTCAGTAGAATCCCATGATCGAGAATGCCGTAATATCATAATATCAATAAACGCAGTTGACGGTCAACTGGAAGTTCTATAATGATCCTTTGGTTTTGTATGGGTGTTCAATCAAATGTGGTCATCCTAATGAGTGTGTTGGATGATTACTAAGTTACTATCAGCACTCACGCTATTCTCCATTTTTGGGTCCCAAAATCATTTCTCCCCATATCAAGTGAATGTGACGAAGAATCTCATTATTTCTTCAGCCATATATATCGGACAAAAAGAAGGAAGTACTAAAGGACCAAGCCAATTAGGGAGCTAGAAGGTCATGTAAACCGCCTAACTTCGCTTAATGCTTGTTAGAATATTGATTATATCAGCAGTTTATTTTCAAGAGTTCAAGATTTTTCCTTCAAAAACGCACCCACACCAAGGAGTAAATAAAATGCAATAAGGTCGTCACTCGTCAACCAATCGACTCACCTTGTGAATACAACCGATTCATCTCCCTGGCATGACCCGATAGTTGAGAACAAGGTCCTCTGACTTTTTCCAGATATAAGCCCGGACGGTAGCCAAGCTCATTTCAGGAGTTAAGACCTGGTCAAGGACTAATTAGTTTACAAACATCAAAAATTTCCTACCAGATAACAACTAAGCAAAACAGGTTGGTGTGTGTGTATCTTGTTACATACTCCCTCTGTCCCAAAATAAATGTCCAAATTACTCCACAATGAAAAAGACACACAGCTTTAGAAACGTGTAATTATTACACTTTTTAATTAACTAAATGACAATTGTACCCTTAATAATATAGGGAGTAATAAATTTCTCCATCTCATAATTAAGGGTAGAATTGGAAAGTAGGCTTTTACTTTTGAAAGTGGACACTTATTTTAGGACAAACTAAAATAAATATGTGGATATTACTTTGGGACGGAGGGAGTAATAAATAATCACACTAAGTACATAATCAGCTAAAGTATGTTATACATAACCACCACTTACAAGCAAATCAAGATCTCACATGCTTGGATCTGGAATTTCCAGATCTAACACAGAAAGATAGAATAGTGTATCTAACCTAGGGTCTGTTTGCTAGCAGCTTAATGAGCCTAATGGGACTCGCAGCTTATTCAGTCAGCTATACATGATTGTTTGGTAGTGGGTTAATGATATAGAAAGTGGCTTATTCAGTAAGCTTCTACAAAGCCTTAAGTAGAAAGCCAAGTTTTTTTCCAAACCTGTCTCTCGCAATTAAAAAACACGCTCCTTCCATCTATGAAAAAACCCTCCTAAACAAAAAACCTTCTCAATCTATACAGACAGATTAATTCACACAGATAATTTTATCCATACATGACTTAATCGAAAACCAACCAAACAGCCCTCTAATAATACTTGAACTAAATATCAAGCTATTTTTGGAGAAGATCAATCTAACTACAGCGACATTTGTAATCATCAAAAGAGCTAATTACCATGTTAAATTAATTCAGTGAAGCAACTTCAAATAGCATCGCCTTTTAAAGTGAATCTCATACACAAAACGACATGCAAAAAACTTATTCAGCCCTTGTCGTAAGTGCTCTTGTACTTTTAGAATGAAGGGAGTAGTTCAGAAATAAAGACAGATTTAACTCATGTTCCTATAGCATGAAATCCGTTTTGCTGACAGGTGCTGGTTGTCATTTAGGTTAGGTTGGAACATTTTAAAGAACATACTCGTTCTTTGTGTTGTGTCAAGCCAAAAAGTAAACTTCAATGGTTCATAGAGCTTGCTCGACAGACTTGCCTTTTCTTTTAGTTATAGACTACGGCAACCCAACACAATAATTTAAAAAGTACATGTCATCAAAAGCTATTCATAGTCCAAAAAGATATTAACTTGCCTGATTATTGCATAATATCTCTATTGCCGGTTTTAGCTTTTGCCCAGGCTTTGATTCAGATCTAAATGAACCATCTCCATTAACAGATGAATTCTGCAACTGCCCTCCAGGCAGGCCAGGAGCAGAAGTGCCATCATTACTTAAACCATCCAACGGCTTGTCCAGAACCAGCTTCTCCACAACATAGTTAACAACCTAAAACACATTAAGAAATATATATATTTAAGTTGAAAATTGTTCTATGTAGGGTCTGATAATATCCCAGTTTGGCTATGTATTGAATAGTCCTTGGTGGTCCATAGGTGAGCATGAGCTCAGATGATACAAATAGAAGCATATAAAGACTAAGGGGCCATTTACCAAATGCTTATCCGGGTAAATGCTTACCAAGTCACATTGCCTTATCGAATGAATATGGTAAAACACCAAGAATCTTACCCGGTAAGTGAGAGCGACGACTCTTACCACGGTTAGCGCTTACCGGATAAATTGTTGCATACGATGTCATTTTGGTGGACTAAAATCTTACCCGGTAAGTAAATGATGGTGTTAAATTTTATCGACAAGCACTTATCGGGTAAGCGTTTGGTAAACGACCCCTAAGAAACTTAAATGATCTACCCTAGTGGATCTAGACTTTTTTTCTTGTTCCCTCTTGCTAATTGGCATAAACCAAACCAAACTAGTAAATCCCACATGGACTAGAGAGACGGTTTCCAGATGTATGTAGACTTCTCCTCTACCCTAAGGAGTAGAGAGACGGTTTCCATGAAGACCCTCGGTTGGCAAAAAAGTTATCAGCACGAAAGTGTGTAGAGGAGATTTTGAAGAGTTAATAAAGAGCTTGAGACAAAAAAAGAAAAGGAAGAAAATCTTGGAAAATGTAGACCAATCAAGCACAATAACAAACAACAAGAAGATGGATTAAAACAGATGACATAAAAAGCATAAGCAAAGTACGAAACAACTAATGACCTAAAGTGAAGAGCACTAAACCAAGAGAACAAGTGAGCCACAAAAAACCTCTTGGCTAAACTGGCATGATGATGCCTAAAAACAAAAACAAAAAAGAATTGCAAAACATTCAGGTCCCACCCCCAAGGCTAATACAAGAGTATGATAAAAAAAGCTATAGCAACCATCAGTGTTGAACAAACTGAGAGAGAACCGTCTATAAAAATAATCTGTGGGCGGCCTACAAGGATGTCATACCTTGTGTATTCTTAAAATACGAGGTGCACTCAGCTTCCCTTGAGTCAAGATCTGGAGAGCTGAACCTTCATATGGCTGCAAGTAAAAGCTGCACCTGAAAATTGAGGTGAGAGTTGAGAAACAGAGACTGCTTGAAAATTTCCTTAGCGTTACTGCATTAGCATCCATAATGTGTTATTAAGAAACCACACGCATTTGAAAGTGTCAGTAGTGTCATTCATTTTGTGTTCATATGCACACAAAATTGAAAAGAAGGATCCAATGACTAAAATAACTAAGGATTGAGCAGATAATTCTGACACCTATATGTTCCTAAGCCATGTGAATGCTCATGAAAGAGATTGAAAGGAGAAATAATGAAAGGAATGCGGGGAGAGAATTACTTGGTATGTTCCCTGGGGGGAAGACGATTATGCAAAACACAATCTAAAACCCACCAAGGGAAGTCTTCATCTTCAGTTCCATCCAGCTCCGTAATTTTCCTCCTCCATGGACCACTGTGAGAACCCTCGGTAATAATTGAAGGAGCGGAAACAGTTGAGAATTCAAATGGAGGATAGACTGAAGGATCGTTTTCAGCAGAACCATCTACTTCGACTCTTGAAAGTGTGATACTCCTGGCAGAAATATCCCTGCCAGATGGAACTTCCCCATCGGCTGAAGGTTGAGATCCAGATCTATGTTTTTTCTTAGCCAACCAATGAGTCAACAAGCCTTTGAGGGTTTCTCGTGCCAAGTTAATCTGCAATACATGAAGGTCAATGGAATAAATAAATTACTTCACCTAACATAGAAATGAAACAATCATGCGAACAGCGATCATTTCAAATACACTGCCCAAAAAGAGATTAAAAGTAACTTCTATGGTTTACATTGTTTTGCAAGCCGGGGTCTTCACAAAAACAGCCTCTCTACCCCTAGGGTAGAGTTAAGGTATGGGTACATCCTACCCTCCCTGGCCCAACCTCTGTATACCGGGTTAATTTGGTTTTTCTGTGGTTTTACAAAAGCATAACAAGAGACGTTGACTTGATTTAGAAAAATTACCAGCATACAAAAATAAATTTCATTACCTTATAAATAAGGAAGATCATGGAGTAGGAGCATGTAAATCCAAGTACGAAAAGAAAAAAAAAAAGAACTCTGCATATTTTTCAAGAATGCAAAAGAAAAATAACTACATGGGCCTAATATTACTCAAAAACTCATAACATCGTTTCACGAGGTCATTAGCACTTTGTACACATAGAATTGATCATCCTATCCAACAATGTCTACAGAGAGAATATATTAAAAAGAACTTCCCCCTGTCGGGGTGATGACTTTAAGTAGTGCGCACAAAAAGAAATACATACTTTTCCTAACTGGAAGCTAAACATCAGTTGATATGCATAGCATAAGTTTTAAAAGGTAAATAATTATGCATTTCAACTTTGAAATGACAAAACTCACCTAGGCATTTCTTTCTCAAACTCATAGAGCATATCCCATGGTATCTCTATGCATCCCATTCAGTACACCATTCTTATGCCTCTTGCTCTTTTCCATTTCAAACATGATGTGCTCGCAAGATGTTCAAAAATAAATATGTAATTTGACAAAGTTTGTTTCATTCACATAACTATATACATATGCTAGCAATTAACAACTAAACTGTCTCATCCCAATTTATAGATTTTTTTCAACCAATGGATACCCATTTTAGCAGTTTTTGTGTCAATGTAAACCAGACAACAAATAAATGTGTTAACCCTGCTTCAGATAATTTGCTTTAGATTGTCATATCAATGATAGCCACAATGAGGACTATAATATATATATAACATAAAAAAAACAAATAACATATCCTTGTGAGATTCTCTATTATTTTATAGGCTTCAACAGTATTCCTTTAACCTATGGCAATATTAAATGTGAAGCTTAAGATATAGATATTTCTGCCTCCATAACTTGCACCATACAGGTATAAATCATGTACATCATAATATACAATACGTAACCAAGAGTACATAAACACACAGGAAGAGATGTTCTACCTTATCATCCTCAGCTTTCTCAGTGATCTTAAGGTCAATAGAATACATCTCAGCGGAGAAGCATTGTGGGGTATCCAAATGCACAGACAAGCTCCCTAACCTAGTGTCTACAGTGAACCATGCAGGAATGCTTACCTGGAGAAGCAAGACAAGTCAAAAGAAGTGACAAAAATTGTAGACAATGTTCCTATAATGAGCAAATGAAATTACCATCTCAAAAAGTTCTTCCTTCTTCTTTTCGAATGGAACCTAAAAAACAAAATTTTCAAAACATAACTTGATTAAAAGACATGATATATTCTATATTGTTTACAAAACCTATAAAACAAAGTTAAAAGTATAACAATATATTTATGACAATCTTCTTCTTTTGAAAGAGCAATATACACGATAATTTGAAATGACAGCCGCATAGAACTCTTCTGCTTAGGTGATAATAAATGCCAACAACATGCACTCTTCTACTTACTCAAGAATAATTTAATGCTGGTTACCTGTCCGTAGTCCTGAATCGCAACACCTCTAGTGATTTCCCAAAGCTTCACAGAACCAGCATTATCCTATCAAAGACACGTTTCAAACCATCAGCTCACTGAATTATATTAACCAGTATAAGAATACAATGCCTCGTAAACTGTTAAACCATCAAAAAGGTAAGAGAAGGAGAAATCCAAACATTACCTTAGTTAGGACATGCCTTCTATTATTCAAAATTTCATGTTGCACAATGCCAGGATTTCCACCAATAGTGAGTGTTGGTTCTCTGTAGACAGGGACCTACATGTCATTCCATAAGTTGGTCAGTATATAATGAACATAGTGACTAATTTGCAAGCAAAACCGCTCACATAAAACATAAGAATATTGTATGGCCAATAGATTATCAACATAAAATTTAAAGAAACCAATGGAGTATTGCAGTACAATCAACAAACCCTAAACGATTGCAAGCTAATATGCCTTTGTTCTAAGTGAGATTCAAGGAAAACCATATATGCTACGTTTAATCTTAACCATGCATCACAAACAGCATCATCTTTCCTTTTCCTTTTTTTATTTTTCCCGAGTGATTATTAGCATTACCTACCACAGGTCTACTGATCTAGAGTGTGGAATTCGGTGGACTTCTAAGAATAAGTCCTTGCAATACATGTGGAAGTGATTGAAGATACGTGCAACAATAAAGTAAACAAGTATCAAAACATGCGACAGTGAGGCAGATTTTCTTACCAATTACTACAGGGCATCTAAAGGATGCCGGTTTTTACCAACCTACAGACTGCAAGTTAGCCAAAAGAGGAAAAGAATAAAAATACTCACAGGGGTAGATCCTTCCAAGGAAGCTCTTGCCCTCGAAAATGACAAATTTCCAGCAAGGAAGGAACTGCCTCTGTGAAACACCTTCTGAGGATTGTGATCTTCAACGGGCCATCTATGCACAGAAGAATCTGTTGTTGCAACCCATATGCCATCATCATGCAGCGCTAATTTCTGAATAGGATGTTCCCTTGTGCAAAGTAATATACTCTCCCTTGTTGCGAGGTCTGTCAAGTATAACTACAGGAGAGAACAGATAGAAATGAGGTCGCAGCAATGCAGAATATAGTCCAGAGCAAATACTAAAGAAACTGAGACCACATTTTCTCTGACGCATTGATAAAAGCAGACTCACAGAAAGATCTCTTCCACCACTATACACATGACTAAACGATGGAGTGCTAACAAGTGCCCATACAGAATCCATATGAACAGCATATGAGTGCACACAGCGCTGCTGCCCAAGATCCCATAATCTACAATAAAAAAATGGAGTCTCCATGTCAGTAACAAAGAACAAAAGAATTCACAAAACCGGTGTACTTGTTCCATATAGTCCTCCATTCACAAATATGTCATCGTAATGCATGCAATTGCCGTCCATATTACTCATAACACCCTTAATCCTTTCAAGAAAAATAAATTCATAGACACCTTCAATATAAACATTCTTTCTTTGTGAAATATCCTTTTTCAAGCCTAATCATCTTTTAGGATGGTGTTGGCAAAGTACAGCCGTAGTATGTCTATTTGAAGAAAGGCAACAGCCGTGCTAGCCTTTTTTCGTTGTTTTAGCTGGGAAAAAAAAGAACCAAACAAAGGAGATAACAGAGATTGAAAGAAGAAGAAAAACACTTGTTTGGACCTGAATAGAAGTAGGACATCAAATCTCTGATGGATGGAATGGTATGTAAACTGAACATACTGTTACCTACCTGATCATAGAATCAGAGGATCCTGATAAGCAAAACCTGCAACCATAAAATTAAAGAGCCATTAGAAGCTCTTAATAACCAAATAGGACAAAATAAACCTTCATAAGGAGATGTTCAAATACACAAGTTCCAATGTATGGCAAAAAAAACAAGAGGCCACCAAACTAACCTCCAAGCACACTTCACTTCTCAAGTTAGATTAGATTTTCAATGTCTAGAGTAAGTCCTAAACACTGAGTCCAAAAGCTTCTAGTTGGTTCCCATGTCTAAGGCACAGACGACTGAAAGCAAGATAATGGCAGCTTTTTTTATAAAGAGATTATGGCAGCTTTCAGTTCCACCCTATTGTCGTTTTAAGTAGGATAATCTTGTTCCTGTCCATCTTCAACCTTTTGACTAGACCCACACTTACTAGTGTCCTGTGTCCATTGTACAAATTTTACTTTTCATGACTGCTTAGTAGAATAATAGCTTTGATGGGATCAACTCCCAATTGCACAGCTTTCGAGTAGTTCTTTAGAGCTTACCCGTGATTTCCAAGCCACAACCCAGTTGGGTGAGGAGGGACTGGATGCCCAACATGTTTCCATGCCATAACCTTTTTCAGAAGTAAACATTGAAGTCGCTATCACACTAAGCAAGATCAGCATGTGTCAATGAATGTGCAATTAGCTTTACTCAGCTGCACATGTTATTTTTGTATTGAGCTACTGGCAGTAGAATTTATGGATGGATCATACAGTAAAAAAATAGGACACAATGGAGATCAATCACATGTACATACATACAACACACATTTGCATAGATGCAAACTAGCCTCACATCGTAATACTTATATTTTGGCTGTAGGTCAAATTAAATAACGGCTGGAAGCCTGGAATGTTCTATGTCCTATACGTACCCACGTCTCTTAACTCCCACCTGACACCTTTTTAGTGCCCAAGATGAACATCGTAATTTGGAAAAACTTAAGAACTTTAATGTCGAAACGAAAATTCTAACATAGAAACCATATGAACAACTTAATCTGACAAAACTTAAAGAACTTCAATTTCAAAACAAAAATTTTAACATAGAAGCCAAGTATTTCTATAATTGATAAAAGGTACTCTCATAAATGTGTTTATTTCATTCTCGACCACCAATATCGATTTCAATGTAATAATAACCCAAAAAAAACCCTAAACAACAAATAAATATGAATACCATATGATTAGCACTCCTCTGGTTGAAGCATGTATATTGAACATGCTCATCTTGCCACGTAGAGGGTTAATTTGTCATCGTTGAAGCAACTTTCTCAAAATATAAACATACACCATATCAAAATTCATTTAAAAGGAGGGGCTCATGATAAGTGCCAACCACACTTTCACAGATGAAATAACAATCAACCTCGATGTGTTAGGCAAACTCGTGGAACATCTAGCTGTTAGAAATGTGTATGGAATATTCATGATTATATTTACAACAAACCAGCTTCAACTATAAGAAGATAACAATTTAAAGAATCAAGGGAGAGGGGAAAATGAATGATTCATATCATATGTACATAAAATTTCTGAAATGTAAGTCAACCAAGTTAGTAAAACCTGCCAAACTATCATTACCAAACAGATAACATGCATTAAATGACACACCTCCCCGTGGAGTCTAGAAGCAGAGCCCTAACATTATCTGTGTGCCCTCGCAGTTTCATCGTTTTGGAACCAGTTCTTGAGTCCCAAACACGTACAGCCTACAAAAATCAACGGTTATAAGATATAAACTCTCCATGTAATCATTGCAACGCTAGGCTGATTAGCATAAATGAATTAGTAATAACGATTTTGCAAAGAAACATCTAACAGCCACTTAACAAAAGCAAGCCCTACAAAATCTTATGAAGTATTAAGTCAGTAGGAGAGCTTTCAAATAAAAAGGCGTCCACTTATAATCACATGCAGACGTTATGCAATTAGAGGAGAAATAAATATGGAACTCCCTGGTAGCAACATATGTCTATGTTATTACTTAAAAGTATGTTCCACAAATAACAACTATACCAAAATATACCTTTTCTGTCCCACCTGACACCAGAAGAGTTCCACTATCATTCATTGCTAATGCATACACAGACTCCTTATGTCCTTTAGCAACAATGGGAACATATCCTTGAGGTTGATTTGTGTGTGACGAAATGCTGTTGCTTGAGCTAATAGTCCGCATACTGGTAACTGGCAGTGAATTTCCTGAACCATTGATGTCATTTGAGCAATCATCATCAGCCTCATTGGACTTGGTGAGTGGAGCAAGTGCAGCTTCAAGATCCCATATGAAAACCTCACCACCCAGGCCACCAGAGGCAACAATATTGCTCTAAAATGATCAGCAGAGAAAAATAAAATAAACCACAGGTAGTAAAACCCACAGGCCATGCTCATATACTTGTATCCCCTAATGGAAATATCATTTAATAAATAGGTCTATAAATCCTTCTTACAAACGTAAACAAAAATCAAGACAGTTTTTCAACAAATGTTACATTTCTCTCTGCAGCAGCTAGACAAGTGACATAATCTGTGTGTTGACGGAAAGTCCCTGTGCAAGTCCCATCCGATAAGCAATCCCATGTCTGGTAGTACAACCCAGTTTAACATTAGCAGATTCATTTAAACAGCAAGGCATGGATTTACAAATCAATCATAAGCTGAAGACAAACCTTAACAGTGGTATCTGAGGAGCAGGAGACAAGGGTATTCCCGCCTACAAGGACTGCATCATTGACCTGTGCAGCCAACACATGCTCAATTTTAATGCGGCATATGTTTGAAGTTTAGCAGAAGCTGAACTAGAAAGGTACTCTGAATTAAAAAATATTTGTTATAACAATTGATATCTAGAATCTTAAGAGTAAGATGATAGGCTCTGCATGTCCTAAGATACCGAATCTCACCAGGGGACTACAAGTCTAGCAACTATACCCCTTGAACCTTAATTAAGTCAACAAATTAACATGCCAAATTTTTCACAAGATTTACCGAAATATTCCCTCTCTGAACTACAAAATCTTCATAAAAATAGAAACCACAATCCACCATTAACAGCACTGCAATTAATAATAATGACTGACAGTAAACAATACCAAGAATAAAGAAATATACCCAATCAACATGAGACTCAAATGTAGTTGAGCAGGTAGCACCGTCTTCAGCTAATTCCCATCTCCTTAACGTGCCATCACGGCTACCAGTGAAGAGGTAACTACCATTATGTGGTGCTGATGACTTTAGTAGTGCCAAACTATTTACCCCTGCACAATGCTGCAAAAAATAGATGCACTCCTGATTTTATGTTGATACAACCCTCTTTACCTAATACATTGCAGAATCAGGAATAGTGGGACAAAAAACAAATTTATTCCTTTCTCAAGACTCTACCGAATAGATGGTTCATCTGACTCATAATTAGATGTCACAAACGAATCTGGAGAATTACATAAAATCCCAGGTTATTTCTATAATTCCAATTAAAAAATGTACACCACGAAAAAAGCTAAGAACTAATATTTGACATGATAAATCAAAATGCCTATTATATTGGACTTACTTATCCACTGTGCATGCAAGATTGTTATCATGCTTCATGATCAATTACACATCAGAATAACAGAAGCACCCCCCTTTTAGAAGAAGGGTTGTGTTGCCCCTCCCACACAGCTTGGTATAGATAACAAGTACAAAAGTAGATACTACATGCATGTTTCCAGCCACGCAAATAATTAAGTGACTAGCCCAATTCAAATATTTGAAGGGAAGAATGTGATTCAACTTCCTGATTTAAGCTAACATGTAAAATATGGGCTCCCATAGTGGTTCTTCAAATGAAGGCTATCTGTATATATGCATAATGCATCTAGGAGTCTTTTCCCTGTATACAGAAACAAACTCACATTCAAAATGCCATTGAACTACTTGAAAAGATTTCGATTTTTCAACTAACTCATTCAAAACTTGACTGGGTGTAAGATTTAATCCGTCCATCCAAATCAAGTTGAAGTCTAGTAATAATATCTCATAAGTTAAGTGTGTGATAACTTGTGAAAGGTAGGCCAGAATGGCAGTGAGAAATCTAATAGCCATTATCTAAATGTTACCCATGAATAACAATGTGGGAACGTCAACTTGCAATTGACCTAAAGTTGGATGTATTAAAAGTCTTGAGACATAATATTAACCCTTAAGCCTAGGGTTCTCACCCTATAATAGGTAGTAGGTACATCTTAGGGTATCCACACATACGCGTGATATTTTGTACAGATATCAACAAGGGTGAAACAATTTAGTACGTATACTCTTAATTTTGGGAAAACAACACTCCCATGTCGGTCATGAAGCAAAAAGAAGCCATGGGTGACTGTAGGGCCCCGCCTGCTTCCCACCCAAAAAGAACCACTTGCTAGCTAGCCGGGCTAGTGCATATACCATCGTACTATAAAGGAAAAAAAGGTTCCTCTTTAATCTTGCATACACTTGAGCTTCGTACTCAAGTGGAACCACTCATCTCACATAAATTCAAATTTATACACAATTTTTTAAAGATAATTTCATTTCATGTCCAAAAACTCAAGCTCCAATTCACGGATAAGGTTTCTGAAAACAGAACAAGTACATGTCCATCAGTCACGAATGGGAGAAACAAACCAAATTAAACAAACCCTAACCTTTGTATCATCAGCATCATTCAACACATAAGTCAATCTCTTCTCCTTACGAGCACGAACTGAATTGGAGGTGTTGCCTGCACTACCCACACGGTGCATCGCAGAATTGCCTAGAGCACAAGTTAAGATATTCGATGTATGAATATGATGCTGGATTCATTCAAAACGATCAAAAAAAATTGTTATGAATTTGTATTAATCATTAACTGTATCAAATAAAGCAATGTAACAAACATATAACTCCCTTCTAAAATAGTTATAAAAAAGGGAGAGATCGTAAGGATGTGAAGTATTTACTACTTACTACAGACTATGCTGGCAGCTGAACTTTTGTAACAACTACCTTAAATGATAAGATTGAGAACGTGAGGCAATACCCACTTACGTATTATACCAGCCACATATGACATCAGTTAATTCCGTTTCAGACGTACAAAATGTATAACATCATCAATAAATTAACCATGACACTTGGTAAGCATTAAATATTAACTGTTGGACTATGTTTTTTAATCCAAATTCTATCAAAATATCTGTTGGTTCCTTCTTTACTTTCCAAATTAATATAGAATTAATCCTCTATTCTGGTTTAATATATGACAAGAAAGCAATTACATTATGATGTTGATCAACAGCACCAAGAGAAGAAAAGGTAAAAGGAATAAAGGTTTTTCCTGATATTATTCAAGAGTTAAGCAAGAACTATATGCCCTACTACCTGTTATAACCGGGTTTTCTGCAGACCTAGTCAAGGTAACTCTATGTGTTTATTATGCGAATTACGTGATAGCATGCATGTTATCTTAAATATAAATGCATGAATTATGTACACATGTGTGGTAATTTGATATTATGCATGCCTATGTGGAAAATTTTATAGACGGTTATATGATAAATATAATATGTGGGAATATTATTATATAATTCAAATCTTCATGGTTAAGAAAGATTGATTATAAAACATTATCTTTTCACCGCCCAGAATGGTTTTATTGGATAAAAGCTTTCACCGCCTTGAATTTTGAGTATAAAAGAAAGGGATAAGATAAAATCATTAGGAAATCCTTTTTATTTTTACTTTTAGAAAGAAACAGAGTAAAGGCGGTAGAGTATTCTTAAGAAAGAATCCTGGTGCGGTTGAAAGAAAGCCTTGTGTGATTAAAACCTGCAGAATCTGTGGTTTCAAGGTGAGTTTTAAACTACCGTCGATTATAAACTGTGAGTTTTATTAACCTTTTATTATAATCGTATGTTTATAATCTGTTGTTCAACCCTACAATATTTATAGATGACTGAGATTTAGAAAGAATCTGGTAAACACTGTTTTTAAACAGTTTTGAAAGAAATGTTTTATGGTTCAAAGATTAGAACCTGTTTTGAGAAGATTGAACAGAAACTGTTCTTTAGAAACAGTACCCTGTCTGGGAAGAACTAGATGAGTTGGGTAATTATATCTAGAACAGAGTGTTCTTATGATTTGGAAGGTTTGAATATAAACCTGTGTTGAGATTTTGATTTGAATAAAACTATGAACGAGGTTCACTCTGACAGAAAGGTCTGCAGCCTGTCAGTGGATGAAATAGTTCATATGAATTTCAGGGGAAATAACGATGGTCGTTGTGTGCGATGGATAGCTATTGCTATAAACAGGGGATTTATGGATGTAATAAGGATGGTCGTTGTGTGTGTATGCATGGTATAACTCTTGCTATTATATCTAATAAGACTTCAACAGATTTGAGTTCTCTCTTCTTGGTGATTTTAGGATTCAGAGATGTTGTTCTTATTRGAAATAGTAGTATTGATGTTATGGTTACGGGAAAATATGACCTATGGTCATTAATTTTGGTTAAAAGCATTTTGGAACAGAATGTTCATTTTTATAAGGAACCAGAAGAACTCTGGTTGGTCCTCACTATCGAACCAGAGAGTTCTTGTTATATATTTAAGGAATGTACAGGTTTTACTAAACGTATTATTTGGACCAGAGGCTCTGTATCTATTGATAAGAGTTTATGTGTCAAAAACATATTTTAAAGAGGTTTTAAGAAAAAAAAAATTATACTTAGTATTTTCTATAAAAGACAGACCAAAGGGGCTCTGGTCGACTCTCACGTTGAACCAGAGGCTCTGGTTGGTCATAACTTTTGAACCAGAAGCTCTGGTTGAGTAAGAGCTCTACATAACTATCCTTTTTATGAAAAGGGTTATCTTATTGACTAGAAGCTTAAGTTAAGAGCATTACAAGAAATTATATGAGCCAGAGGCTCTGGTTAGTACAACCAAAGGCTCTGGACGAGGGAGTAAAAGCTCTGGTAGAAGGACCAGAGGGGCTCTGGTCCTGTTTATTGAAATATATTCTAAGTATGGTTTGGAACCAGAAGCCCGATGGACCAAGTCAGAATGTGATTTTTAGTCTTTGCTACATGAGATGGATTATTGAAATAAATGTTTTGGTGATCTTCACCCTGCATTACCAAAAAGGTAACCTCACTAGACATTCATGTCTAACCCTCATTTTGTGTTTTTAAAAATATGTGTGCAGGTAATGAGAATAAGGGAAAAAGCATTATGTGAATTACTTCCCTATGTGTTTTGCAATATGAAGATCTTGATTAGCGATGTTTGGAAGATTATATGTCAAGATATTGGAAGCATGTACTTTTGAAATTTTTGATCTATGTATTGTACATTATAGACTCTTGTATTATGGACCTATGTGGGGAAAACATGTATTCCGTATATGAAATATGGGTTATATGCAATGTATGATTTGGGGGTGTTACACTACCAAACCTCACATACATAGAGGGGATATTGCAGGTGGCTTTCTGAAAGTTTAGATACATCTGTCATATGACCCTCCACTATACACCAAAAATCTCTATTTGAAAGTCAAAACACTAAAAAATTGATCAGTGTCCTTGGAATTTTCTTCCTACTTTCTCTGAATAAATATTATATGATGACCCAAATATGGGAATGCTATATTGGTAGGTAAAAAAGGGGAGTATATACATTACCATTCACCTAGGAATGTATAAATGATAAGAATTGTTGTCCATTGAAAGCAAACTTAAGAATTATACTGTCACTCAAACCATTTCAACAAATTTGACTCAAAAACAGCTATATATTATAAGAACGTCTTATCCTGTATTCACCTAGGCGAATATAAATCTTAAGAACTTTTGGTTATTCAGGGCAAATAAAAGAGTTTTAATGTCACTGAACCGCTTCAACAAATTTCTAATTCGACTCACTAACGTTATACATTTTAAGGAAGTCCTTAACCTTTATTCGTTTTGGTAAACTCAAAACTCTCTTATTCAGTTAAAACTTAGTATCTAAGCATCAGCAAGTTTCGAGCATTATTTTGGAAGAATTCCATAACATGTAATATCAATTAGCATCAATCTCGAAGGCAATCATATTCCATCTGCAATAAGCTCATTACCTTCCTAGTTTCTCAAAAATAAACGGCATAGCATTTACGAACCGAATGAAGATTCATGTTGCATCATATTCTAATACTTACTTACCTTACAAACCCTATGCAGCGCCAGTTCCGAAACAAAATCGTAAAATAACAATCAAAAATGGTCTTTAAACCCTAAAATGAACTTCCGGTAAATTCCATAATCCAAAACTCAATCCTAATAATACCATACAGAGACTCGGTGGTGCTTACCGAAATAGAAATCGATACGAAGCAAAATCAACAAAAGGATCGCCTGATCCTTCAAATTTGAACTTCAATTTCTCTGAATGAAGTGAAATTTTCCATACAAACGACACTCATATGCATCAAACGGTATCCCACTGTTCCAATTTAGATACTGAAACCTGTAAATCTGAAGTGGAATTCAGATTGTAAATCGAAAATCAAACTTCAAATTGGGAATTGGAGATTGTTTGGGAGGTTAGAGAAAATGGCAGTGTCCAATACATGGATAGTTACGATAAGTGAAAAAGGAAAGGAAATTGGCAAATGTTTGATCAAGGGTACTTAAGGTATTTAACAACATAGATAAAATACTTTCGATAAGTTAAGATGGCTGTGTGCACACGTCGTCGTTTTGGTTTCAATCTATACAATAACATAAATCATTTAACAAAAACTTTTAAAAACTATTTTTTATGCATGAAATACTGTTTATTGATGTATATTACTTAAAACTCGATATTACAAGTGATTTTGCATAAATACAACTTATTAAAACTTCATTTTTAAATTTTTGTAACTAGCTGCAGATAAACATAATCAAATACGGGATAAACATTTATTTCAAATATAGAAAATCTAAAATATAATTAAGATAATCATTAAGTTTCTAACCGAATGTTTAGTTATTATCTTTAATAAAAATATATTATTAAACCAAAAATAAATTATTTTGTTATTAGACCTAAGTTAAATTATAATAAAAAATTGAATCAAATAAGTTATACCAAAAAAAACGAGAACTATTAAATAGTTAATTTAATACTAATATCGATTTTATTTATTTTATTTTATTATGTTATCTTCAAATCTACATTTCATTCAAAAATTAAAACATTATCGTTTTCTCAAAACCACATAAAATCGTATTATATCGATAGAAACAAATAATAAAAACTAAACATTAAAATAGATATTTATCTCGTTGCATTGCGCAAGTACCCTTATAGTATGCATGAATGTATGACCTCGATGGGTGGTGATTTCGTACGAGATTAAACTTATGATGTTTCTGACAAATTACTTGATAAGCTAATAAGCTAGTTATCTATACTACAAGGGTGTTTGGGATTGCTTATAAAAATAACTTATTGACTTGATCTGGTGTGGCATCGGTAATAAGCAATTTTGAGTGCTTGGATAAACAGCTTATACCGTTGTCAAACCGGTAATAAGAACTTTTTGAAGAAGTTAAACCGTTCTAACTTATAATAAGTTAATAAGGACTTTTGTAAAAAAACATAAGTTGTTTCAAATAAGCAATCCCAAACACCCCCTATATGTAACACCCTAATTTCTTTATTTGATAAATCTCAATATTTTCAGCCTTAAATGCAAAAATTTATAAATAATTCAAGTACTCCAACAGCTGTTACATTTAGTGAAACATCTTTAATTATAAGACTAAAGCAGGCTAGTGAGAAGTTGTTAAGGCTATAAGTGTGTTGGCAAGTCTGGTAAGCATGACTAAGCAATATAGTGATTAGTTGTTAAGGCTACAAGTATGTTGACAAGTCTAGTAAACATGAATAAGCAATCCAGTGATGAGTTGTTTAGGCAAAAAAAAAATATATGAGTTGACAAGACTATTGATTATAAGACAGGTCTATAAAGCATGACAAGGAGTACTAAAAGCATGGAGTTGTATAGATTTGATTATTCTTAGAGATGAGTTGTCAATATTCTATTATCTTTATTGATGAAGTGTCAAATTCTCATAAGAATACAATCTTGATAGCAAAAAGAACAAATAATTAATGCAATGAATTTATCTGTAAATAGTGATTGAAATGGTCATTATTTGTGTATACAAAAAATAAGAAATTTCTCTATATATACATAATTAAGCTTGAAGAAAGTAATCAAAGGAAAAAGTAGGCAGATCAAGGTGAGTATTTATATGATTTGTGATATACATGCAATATATATATATATATATATATATAAGTATTTTGTGCATTACAAGTTATGTTGGCATGCTTGTTTTACATTAAAACATTGATACACATACATATTCAATTTATGCATTATGACATGTTATGATTCAAGTATACACACAAGACGCTAAAATCATTTACATGTTACCATATATGTTACACAAGGCATGAAATTTTGTACATGTTATGTATAACCATAATATATAGCGTACGAGATATTACAAGAAGGGACGTCTTGTCAACGGACCTTATAAGACAACCTTTTATGGACCCCGAGGTTAGCAAACCTCAAGACAAGTATGGTAAAAGAATGGTTTATTTCAACATGTTTTTTTGGTTATTTTGCATTCTTATCAACTAGTTTTACCAAACATGATTTATTCACCAGTTAGCTTATCAGCTATCAACTAACTTACAAGCTAACAACTAGCTTATAAGTTAGTTTGCCAAACATAGCCTTAAAACTGAATGGTAGTACCATACCATGTATGTAAAAGAAATGAGCAGGACAATAATGTTTTTTAGTGTCCCACCAAAGTAGATGGGACAAAAAAAAAAAAAAACCCGAGACATGATTGATAAACTATAGAACTAGCTATGTCAAATAAAAACCCTAAAATATTGCAATTCATTCACTCGTTTATCTCACTATCACCCATATGATAATGTCACATACATCCAGTATAGTCCATACTCCAATAGTCACTCATGCATACCAAATGCACCCGACACACTGCACATTCGTACGAATGTTAACCGCATCGAAGGTTAACCACAAAATGATGTATCTAACACATAGTGTTTTAATGAGAGTTATAATTGAAAAAAGTTACAATAAGCTCTCAAAACGTTACCCCAAGTAGTGTTTTAATAAGCATATTGACTTATAAGCGAGCTTATAATTGTTCAAACGTGTACCTAGAAGATAAACTAGCTTATTTTTACCAAACAATGCCGTAGTATAAGACGAAAATAACAATAAATTACAAATTATGGGGATAAAAATCATAAGTTCTAAACTATAGAGACTAAAATCAGAATTATTACAAATTACAGGGACGAAAATTGTAATTTACTGCCACCGGGGAACTAACAATACAAAATGACTGTTCCTGAGATTTTTGCCAAGCTCTTCGACAGAATGTTGTCATCTATCCCCACTGCAAGAACGCTCACCAATTCCTTCGCGTCTTTCTTCCATCGGAATCCACCAATTCTTACTCCAATTCATCAAAGGGTTTCCGTTACTTTTTGTTCCGGAGCCCTAGATTTTGACGACGAACCACAAGGAGAAGAAGATGTCTTTTCTGGCGGCCGACGACGAACGAATTACACCGGTGTTCGGCTCGAAGAGAGCGTTGAAGAACTTAAATCGGGAAAGATTAGGCTTGATACTTGGATTTCTACTCGAATAAACGGCATTAGTAGAGCTAGGGTTCAATCAAGCATTCGATCAGGACTCGTCTCCGTCAATAATCGTGTTACTGTTAAGGTAAACTTGTTCATTTACTCAATTTTGGATCAAATGTTACGCGGCCTTCACTTATAATATCAAACAAATTACTTTTCGACTTCGAATTTGATTCAATGCTTTAGATTCAAAAAAATCAGTTGGTAATAAATACTCATCCTTAGCATAAAAAATTTATTGACAAACGGTTTAATTGCAACTCCTGATTGGCATATGGTTTAATTGTTAGACTATTTTGCTGAATATCTGAAATGGATCAATAGTTGAGATCAATAGGAACATTCACTTGCAACAATGAATGATGATAGGATTTAAGGAGCTTTAACTATGGAATGTCGGACTTTATAGTTGTGATATCTCGTTGCACAATTTTGTTTCAGGCCTCACACATGGTAAGACATGGTGATAAGGTTGAATGCACGATATCGGAGTTGCAACCCTTAAAGGCTGAAGGAGAGGATATAGCTTTAGATATTGTTTATGAAGATGAACATGTATTGGTTGTTAATAAGCCTGCACACATGGTAATCACGTCAACCGTCCTTTGCATTTTTATCTATGAATTAATCTGCTTCTTCTAAACATGAAATGTGAAAATCATTATGTAGATTGTAATATATTTATAACTGAATGTTTGTATGTTAACTATTCTTTTGAAACCTGGGCATTTCATTTAAATTGCCATAGAAGATGATATACAACCTTGAGGGGCAACTCAACTCAACTGGCAAATAAAGGTTAGGCCTTGTGGTCCCTCAGGTCGCCAGCTCGAGTCTCCTTAGGGTGCGTTTGGTACACAAAACATAACAGGAACATTGTTCCACGTTTGACAGAACTTTTTTGTGGAACAGAGTGGAATAGGCGTGTTCCACCCCCACCCCATGGAACAAGGTGGAACAAACCTATATTTTATCAACATAACCTCAAAATAAAACCTATTTCTCTCTAAAACATCAAATATACCTCTTTCTTTATACTTTATTCATCCTTTAAATTTTATTTGTTGTATTTTATTTCTCTTTAAACTTTCACCTTATAGTCCTCAAAATCTTACTTTTATACGATGTCTATAATTCTATATTTTGATTAAGTTATGTAATTTATTAAATATTTTTATAGAAAAGGTGTAAAATAAAAATTGGAAACTACATGAACTTTTCATTTTGGTGTCATTTTAATCATCTTGACGAAAACTTTCTAATGATATATTTTGTTATTAAAAATATTTATTTTATTATAATTTAATAAATTACATAAATTAATCAAAATATATAAATGACATAAACAACTCATTAGGGTAAATTGGTCATTTTATTTGTTCTGTTTTGTCTTACCAAAAGTTGAACAACTGTTTTTGTTCTGTCCTATCACCAAACACACCCTTAGGGCCAATGGGGATTTTCCAGGCTGTTATCTTCAGGGCCCCATGGTATCAGTCGATATGTGCACAAGCTGGGCCGGACACCTGGGGTTTCCCAAAAAAATCTCTATGTGTATGGTTACTGTGTTCCTTTCAATTTCATGTTCAGGTTGTTCATCCAGCACCTGGAAACACTACTGGAACACTAGTAAACGGCATTCTTCATCATTGCAGTCTCCCGACACCTTCATTCCAAGATCAGGAATTACTATCAGATTCTGATGATTTGGATGACATTGAGCTAGATGAACCCTTCATAAATCAGACTGACTCAAAGGATTTCAGTTTCGGTACTAATGAAACATCTGTTCGTCCTGGGATTGTGCATAGATTAGATAAAGGCACAAGTGGATTGCTTGTTGTTGCAAAGGTGGGTTCCTGGTGCTATCAAAATTACAACATCATTGCTGCCATTTTTATCCATTTTTTTTATCGTATGCTTGACCTTTTGAACCATTGAAATTGGATTTTCATTGTAAACCAACCATCGTTCTTGTGAAAATATAAAAACAACACTAATTTTTTTGGCATTGCTGCAAGAATGATCGTTAGTATGCAAAAGAACCAAGATTGATGTTCAAAATGTCAATCACTTTTTTTAGGGTGCGTTTTTATCCAAGACAGTTGTTCAGCGTTTGGTAAGATTGGACAGGACAAAACATATAAAATGACCAACTTACCTCTAATGAGTTGTTTTTTATCTTTTATATATTTTGATTAATTTATATAATTTATAATAAAATAAATATTTTTTATAACAAAATATATCATTATAAAGTTTTCATCAAGATGATTAAAATGACACCAAAATAAAAAGTCTATGTAGTTTCCAAGTTTTGTTTTATAACTTTTCTATATTATCTTTTAATTATTAATATTTAATAAATTACATAAATTAACCAAAATATAGAAACCGAATAAAAATGATATTTTGAGGACTGTAAAGTGAAAGTTTAAAGAGCATAAAATATAATAAATGAAATTTAAAGAATGAATAAAATATAAAGAAAGAGGTGTTTTTGATGTTTCAGAAGAGAATTGGATTTTATTTTGAGGTTATATTGATAAAGTATAGGTTTGTTCCATCGTTTTCCATAGGGTGGGGGTGGAGCACGCCTGTTCCACTATGTTCCTGTCTGTTCCATATAAAAGTCCTGTCAAACATGGAATGTAATCCATATTCTGTTATGTTATGTCCTGTCCAGTGTACCAAACGTACCCTTAAGGCCTACGTTTTGGTGCTAACATCTCCTATTTTTCTTTCTAAATCATCCTGGACAACACAGGATGAGCATTCGCACGCTCATTTATCTCAACAATTCAAGCAACACACCATCCAGAGGATATACGTCAGTCTCACTTGTGGAGTTCCTTCTCCAGCTTCGGGTCGTGTTGATATCCCAATTGGCCGTGATTTGACAAATCGGATTCGTATGGTTGCTGATACGGGACCGACCAAATGTGGAAAATCTCGCTATGCTGCTAGTAGGTGATTCAAGGTCTTCCTTTACTAAACCCTTTTAGTGTCTAAATGCTTCGTCACCTATATAAATCGGCTTCTTTTAATATAAATGACCCCTCGACTTTGCAATGGCCTGTGAGTTAAGTCTTTGAATGCAACCTTTTCCTTGTTCTTGCAAATAAGTTGTTAATAGACTTGAACCTTGTGAATTGCTCCAAGGCTTATCGTTAACCGAATAAATTGTATGCCTAAGAAAACTGAGAGTGTAACAACGGGTTACCTCTTTCTGAAATATCTATCAAAGAGGAAGTTCCATTAGGAGCCCAAAATTGATTAGGAACCTGGGAACTGCCCACAACGCGCCATGTGTCCCTCTTCAGGATGAATATTCATCATGAATCACGCATTCATGATGAATATGGAGGCGTTATTCATTGTGAATCACACATTCATGATGAATATGTTACAACGTTCATGATGAATAACATGTCCATATTCCTGATTCATATGCCAGTCGTGCTACTTGGCAATATTCGGGTTCCTAATCAATTTTAGGTTCCTAACAGAACTTGCCCCTATCTATCAAGCAAAATCTAATTCATTTCACCAATTTTTTTTGTCTTGGAGACACAGTGATAAGGCATGGAGATATGCTAATCAAATCGTATCTAGGCGGATCTGAATTTGGACAACAAAAACCAAACCAAACGAACCCAGTATATCCTACCTGCGGTGGGTTCAGGGGAGGGTAAGATGCATGCAAACATGAGTAGAGCGGCTGTTTCCATGAACACCCCAACTTGTGAAAAGTGTGACAAAGAGAGAAAGATAGATATGATTAAGTTTTGAAAAGTTGGTTAAGAGTAAGCAATAACATACAAATAGAAACAAACAGGTACAAGAAAAACACAACCAATTTAAGGAAACTACACATCCTTAGGGTATGTTTGTTAGCAGCTTAATGGGACTCGAAACTTATTCGGTTAGCTATATATGATTGTTTGTTAGTGGCTTATTTAGTAAGATTCTAGGGTGGAGTTTTATGCAGAAAGCCAAGTTTTTCCAAAGCTGCCCGTCCCAGTTAAAAAATACGCTTCTTCCATCTATGAAAAAGCCTCCCAAACAAAAACCTTCTCAATCCATACAAACAGATTAATCCATACAAACAACTTTGTCCTTACAGGACTTGATGAAAAACCAACCAAACAGCCCTGAAGTCTGACTACTCTAGCTACGGAACCCACCCCTAGTTTGCTACCATATTCATGCGTCTCTAAGAGCTCCTGTCAGAGGTCATGTCCTAAAAAATGTCTAAAGCGGCCATGTTTAACCTCAGTTGCTCATCCCACGTCCTCTTCGGCCTACCCCTCCTCACGATACGGCTGAATTTGAAAAGATATTTGAATTTGGTCAGTCAGATATGTTTAAATAAAACCTGGTTTTATTAAAAACATAGACATCAAAGAATTGGAACAGTCGATGGGCTTATTGTTAAACAACCGATAAACATTGAGCTCACTTATTTGATCATTAGGTACAGAGTAGTCGAGATACTTGCTGGTGGTGGATCGGCATTGGTTGAGTGGAAGTTAGAGACGGGCCGCACCCATCAGGTATCATATTCATTTATATAATTTTCGTTTCTATTTTATTATATTTATATAACTTTACGTATCAAAATCTAATATTAGCTGTTATTCTATTGTGGTATTCTGAAATAGATTCGAGCACATGCAAAGTACCTGGGCATACCTTTAATGGGAGACGAGGTGTATGGAGGTACTAAAAACATGGCCCTGGCTCGGCTGCACCCCAAGAACCCGTCAAGCTTACACGGTCAGCTTTCACAGATTGTCTCGAAACTCGACAGACCTTGTCTCCATGCGTTGACTCTTGGGTTAGTCAAGTCAAACTTGTTTCTTCTTTATTTAAAGGTCACTTGTTTGGTTGGTTTTCCATCAAAACCTGTATGGATAAAGCTGTCTGTGTGGATCAATCTATCTGTTTAGATTGGAAAGATTTTTGTCTGAGAAGGTTTTTTCACAAATGGAAGGAGCGTATTTTACTATTTTTTAATTAGGAGGGGCAGATTTGGAAAAAAAAACTTGGCTTTCCACATAAAGCTCCCCTCTAGAAGCGTATTGAATAAGCCTCTTTCTATATTATTAAGCCACTACCAAACAGTGATGTATAACTGACCGAATAAGCTGTTAGTCTTATTGAGCTCATTAAGCTGCTAAAGCAGACCAATAATTTTTTTGTGTTGCTCTCTTCATCCCAAAGTAAGTGTCTAAACTTATATTTTAGTTTGTTCCAAAATAAATGTCCATTTTCAAAAGCCTCTATTTTCCCACTCTACCCTTAATTATGAGATGGAGAAAATTTTCACACTCTGTTATTAAAGGTAAAATAGTCATTTAGTTAATTAAAAAGTGTAATAATTACACATGCCTAAAACCGTGTGCCTTTTTTTTTTGATTGTGGACGTTTATTTTTGAACAGAGGAAGTACTTTTTTTGTTTATGGTCAAGTTTAATTATCTTATATATACCACTTGTTTTGTAGATTTACGCATCCTTGCACCGGAGAGAAAATGCAATTTTCATGCTTGCCTCCTGTAGATTTTGCTGAACTTTTGACGGGACTTCGTAATATAAGCACGTAGAAGGTGATGAGCTCGTATTCTAAAGCATTGTTTTTGTTTTCGACATATTTTAAAGCTAAAGTTTTGTACTTATCCCGTTTTATCATTAATGCTATCGTTGTTCCACCAGATCATCTTATTTTTGTCATTATTTAAGGGCAATTTAGCAATATGGTTGACAATCAACAATCAACCTGGTATTTAGCCATACATCATCATAATAGGCACTTAGGGGCCCTTTGCCAAAACACTTACTGGTAACCATTTATTGGGTGTCACTTACCTTACCGGGTGAGCATGAGAAGGTTCAAGAATCTTACCTAGTAAGAGGGCATAACAAAGACCGAGGATCTTACTTGGTAAGTGAGGGAGAAGACTCTTACCTAGTTAGCGCCTTACAGGGTATAAGACGCTTACCAACAATCCATTTTGATGACCAGATAAAGGTGATGGTAGTGACTCTCGTTGGTAAGCGTCTGGAAAATGGCCCCTTAGTATCTAAACTATCGATGTAGTTCTGAAAATGCAAAAAGAAAATAAAGCATTGCGGTTGTTAGAAAACCGTGAGGGTGCATTTGGTACGCAGGGCAGGAAGAGACATGGCACAGAACAAAAACTTATTGTCCCATGTTTGATGTGACATTAGACTTAGACAAGACAAGACTGAGTGGGACAAAAATGCATTTGCATTTTTTTGTCCGACCAAAATAGGTGGAACAAAATGTCTTTATCTCACCAAGATTGGTAAATTACTAAACTACCTACGTCAAATTAAAATCCCTAAACATTCCACAATTCTTCCACAACTGATCTGGTTACCAAACGCGCCCTGAGAACACTCAGGTTGGCTTGAAGTAGTGGAAAAACACTCTAGTTGGCATATTAGAATGCTTTGTACCAGTTACTACAAACTGGAGTATATTCTTCTTTTTTGCATTTTTTTTAAGTATGTTAGTTATTTTGGAACAAAATCCTTGCATTAGTTGAAAAGGCTAATCCCTCACAATTGAACACTTTTATTACACTATCTTTTGATCAAATGGTTTCATTATTCTTGGGATATAAAGTAAATTATTATTTGCCTAGAGAAGAATGACGAAGGGGCCATTTACCAAACTCTTACTTACCTGCAAGAGTCAGCACCCTCACTTACCTTATCATGCAACATTCTCGGCTATCAAATGGATTGTTGGCAAGTGTTTTTGCCTGGTAAGCACTATTAGCTGTAAATTAGCTAGCTGTAAATTAGCTATTTCTGAGTTTAGCCTCATCTATTTTAGGATGTTTATTATGTCATTGATCACCCCTAAATGAGTGGAGATCATTTCCTAATTTGTAGCCTCTCAGTTGTATATATATTCGGCTGATGTATATAGAAGATAATAAAAGGAAAACACGATTACTTTCATGCTATCA